TCTGAGGAGGTTGTCGGCAAAGGCTGTAGACGAAAGGTCCTGGCTTTAACGCCATGAGCATGGAGTGCAGTGCGACCTCGGGGTTTAAGTTACGAATTTTGACGGAGACGCCAGTGAAGCGCTCCATGAATGTCGTTAATGGTTCGTCGTTGCCCTGTCTAAGGCTGGCCAAGGCGGCGGATGTGATGTGATGAGGTCGGCTCGTTGCGTATTGCGCCGTGAATCACCTCACCAAAGTGTCGAAGCTATCGACTTATCCCATTGGCAATTGGGTAAGGTGAGAAAGGATTAGAATAGTTAAAAGCACGAGGATCTAGTTTAATTTTCATTGAGACCATCTTTGTAATCTTTCTTATTATTACAAAAAAAAATTAATTAAAATTAATACAGAGAAAGAAATTATGACTTTATGACTATCAAATGTATCCTAATCTCTCGTGAATCACCTCACCAAAGTGTCGAAGCTATCGACTTATCCCATTGGCAATTGGGTATACTAGGCGAGTGCCGATCCCTTGAACGAGGTTTGAAAAACCCTACACAGAATAACATATTCATTAGTGTATAGGTTTACCTGTGTGACGTATAAGTCAATGTGTTCATCGGTTGAGGGGGCTGATCAGAAAGGCACCGAGGAAGCTGGGCGCGGATACGCTCGTTCTCGGCGCGCGACGCCGCTAGGTCAGCCTCATTCGCGGTACGCAGCACCGCTAGGTCAGTTTCGTGCTTGGCACGAATGTTTTACAGATCGGCGGTGTGTTGTTGCCTCATCTGCTCGACTTGTTCGATCAGCCTTCTCAATGCTGCTTCGTTGACCATGCTTGTTGTGCGATCTGCGCCATCTGTTGCGCGTCTACTATGGCTTCGGGTGAATACCATAAGCGTGGCCGATAAGAGCTGTCTTGATCGGCTCCACGGTGGGCGCCAAATGTTCTTACCGGAGATCGGTCGTAGGGGACGATCTATTGGGTATGATCGGTGAGCCTCCTTCGCTGGTACGCTTGCTGCTCCAAGACGGGGGTGGTACCTGCAAAAGAGACTCCGATGCTAAAGTTAGGGTTTGTGTGAGTATATGTCTCGTATAAGTAACGCACATACCTTTGTGTGTATTAGGGTTTTGTTGGGCCTTGGGCCCGAGATCAGTTTATGACCTAATTGGATAGCGAGTCGATGTCGCCTAGCGTGTGTCCGAGGTCACTCCACATTGTGATGCCGAGCTCGAGCTCGACATAGCGGTATGGATAGTACATGTTCCATTTACAAAAAATATCGGTTAAAACCTTTATTTGGTCCCTTATAATATTTTTTTGTTTCAATTTAATCTTACTTTAATTTTTGGTTTTAATTTGGTCCCTAATAATTTAAATTATTGCAATTTGGGACTTCCGTCCAAATGATATCAACAGAATTAACTGGTGACCATGTGGATGTCACATGGATGCCACGTAGATGGATCTAAAATGTCTTGAATATACCTGGAATCAGAACGGCCCGTTCTGAAACCAGAACGACCCGTTCTAGTTGTATTCTTGGTGTGTAAATTTTGTATATCAAGCACTAGATTTGGTAATATTGTCAATGAGGATTGATAACTTCAATTGTTAAACATTTAGGCTATACAGTATATCATTAAGGATGATGCAGTGTATCACTAAGAACAATGGTAGCAGATTTTATTTTATTGTTAGTCAAACTGGAGTAAACCACTTACTACCAAATTGACACTATACAGTCAAGGATGAATTTTTGAACTTTTTCAGTATATGTTATTTCATGTGCATTCTCAGTAATTTCTTTGAACTTTTTTAGTATATGTTATGCTATGAATTTTTGTTTTCAGTTTCTAAACCATGTTTCTGTCTTTGAATTTATGATATGTTATGAATTTTTATTTTAATTTTTGAATTACATTACATCATTTTGGTCAAGATTTTGAACTGGATAAGTTCAAATCAAAGAAGAATTTTGGAAGGTCTTATTTATTTAATTTTTTTAAGTATTCATTATAAATATAAAATATAATATATGTTAAGATATATTTAATCGCATAAAATTAATATTTCATATATTTTTTTATAGTTTAATATTCAAAATAATTAATTGAAGAATACAATATTATCTGTATTAATATGATTTTAATTTTTTTGTGGACAGTTTTTACAATTCATTTATCTAATTGCATAGAATATTTGTATGATATTGTGCTTTGTTTAAAAAAATAATTTTTACTAGAAGTAAAACAATCATTTTGACATTGCAATAAATTATAAATATGAATTATATTTATGTCTAATATAAAATTTCACAATATATTAATTGCTTTGTACACAGTTTTATTTTATAGTATTCATAATCATACATAGTGAATAATGCTCTTATTTATTATTTTAAGAATATTTTTGAATTAAGAACATTAAATAAAATTATTTTGATGAAAATTTATTTATATTTTAGTTAAAAGAATTTAAATATTTTTACTTATATATATAAAGAAAATAATGGAGAGGACCAAGATATCGTGTAAAACATGCACCGAAGTAATATGTGGACATCAATTGATTAGCTTGTGTGTCTAATAATGACAAATGAAGTGAGTGTGAGCATGCAGTCTAGTCTTCCTCACTTTTGGGCCACAACTTATAGGATAAGATATTTTCCTCACGTATGGATAAGATATTTTAACATTGTACAAGATCAACTTTTATCTGACTTTTTTATTATAATATTTCAAAATAAAAAATAAATTTTCTAAAATATCATTTTTAAAAAAATATATTTATCAAAACATTACGTTTATTATTTATATAGAAAAATTCGTTTTTCATCAAGGTCACAAGACAGGCCTACGATCTTAAACCTATTTTTTTGTGGATGATGAGCTCTTTTTTTCCAAAGCAAAGCCCTCCCAACCTCAGGTCAAATTTTTAACATCTACAATAATAGGGATTGCTTATAAGTAACTCCCTGTATCATATCACTACCACATCAGTTCTGACCCATTTTGTGGATTACTTAAATTTTAGCAGAGTTGCATAAATTCTCAATCAATTCTACTAAAATTTAAACAA